CCCCAAAGTAGTCAGGCTGGTGATTGAACATGATATCTAATGGGCTAATGGGCAGGCTGACACATCAGAGCATGAGGTAACTCAGTGAAAGACTGGAACCAGAGATTGCAGCAGTATCCATAGGCTGTGATAGCTGCTCCTTCACCCTTCCCCTCAGGGTATGTGCTTCAAGAACACTGAACAAAGTCACTGAGTTCCCACTGTGGTTGAGACGTTCCCAGATGTCTGGGATCACCACAGAAACACTGTTCTGTTTGTTGAGGCCAACCTTTCAAAGCAGCAGAGAAGCAGAAGAACAAGAAATGAAAAATTACTCTTGGGATTGGATTTCAGCAAAGTGTCATGTAAGAGAACCTCTCAGCATCCCTCGGAAGTGGAAACAGCCAACAAGGTAAATCATCTACAAGAAAAGGTAGTTATCTGCTGCAAAAGAGGAAAAAAAATGGTTCTAGGGGAAAAAATAATCTAAAAATATTATGTTCTGGCAATGAAAGCTGTGATGCCTGAAAGGTAAACCACTTGAACTGACCAACCAAAGAGGCTTGATCCAGACTGCAAAGTATGGAAGGTGAGCATGGGTTACCTGAAGAATTCATCCAGACTTCTTTTGCCTTGCACATTACACAGTGCTTTTGACATGCATAAAATGAGCTTAAAGTAATAAAGAGGTAAGATTCTTTGGTGCAGACATGATTTTGCACCCAATTTGCACAGGAGTATAAAATTTCCAGCCACATGGAATCAGGATTACAGTCACCTTCAGAGAAGCTTGTTAGGGAAATGCTCCTCACAAAACAGTGATGCCCTGGTATGAGATGAGTGACTGTTCTGCCTGTTTTCCTTTGCCATTTGTTTGGCAATTTCAGCCCATTTAACATGAGGGTCAAAATTTCACCAAAACCAAAATCGGAGCGGCTACATGAAAAATCATCAGCTGAGAAGAGAAATCCAAAGTATTCCCTTTCTCCTAAGAAGGAGGTTCTAAACTGGCCTTGCATTGATGACAACACCAAGATCAGACAGTTTAGTTCCCTAAAACATTGAGTTTTTTCCACTTAGCCCCTCACCTGCACGCAGCAGTCTGGGGACCAAGGTAATAGAAATGAGGATAAAACAAATTATTTGTTCAAAGTCCTGCTTTGGCTTTTAGTGGCTTTAGATACACATCCTTCACTGCACTGCTCTGTGATCTGTGGTGATAGCTCAACTCCAAAGGAAAAGCAAGCTGAAAAACAAAAAGGTCCCCCTGGGATCACACACGGTGGTATTCAGCTCAATTACTTATTAAAGCACCAACACAGCATGGATTTTTTTTTCAGTACATTACTTATTCAATCAGAGCTCCAACTCTCTCAGACTGATCCCTTAAGAAAAAGCAAACATCTTTCCCTGTTTGTTTCCAGCTGCATCACAAAAGACTTTAAAGACTTCAGGCTGCAAAAAAAACTGTTTGTCTTTGGGTTGTTGTACAGCAAGAGCTTGTGGGTGAATCCAGTCAAACTCTGATTGACTGGCGAGAGCACAGGGCCATCGAGCTAGGGAAGGTGCTTGGATTTTTCCACGTAACTCCATGACCCACGTCCACCCCACAGTAGCTTTGCTTGTGCAGGACAGGAGCTACAGGCAAGACAGCAGTGAATAATCTCTTTATGGCAATCAAGGGTTGTTGGTTTTTGTTTTTTTTTACACGAGGTGAGATCAATTTTCCATCAAGTTATTCTAGACTGGGAATAGTTCATCAGATATTTAAACACAGAAGCTGACCTTCCATCTAGGCAAGATGGGCATGCCATGTTGCTCACTTTGAAGAACAGTAAGATCCCCTGTGGAGGAGGGAGGGAATCAACCTCGATAAAATATTTAGAGGTAGAAGATACTGCCTTGCCTTTAGATTTCTCTTAGCAAAGCTGTTGATTAAGTTGTAGAATCACTGAGATTGGAAAACAGCTCCAAGATCATCGAGTCCAGCTGACACCATAAGATTTCTCTGCTCCAGATAATCACAGTATCATAAGGTAAACAAGCTGGCAAAAAGCCCACATGGTTTTGGAAACCAAAGGGCACCAGATCCCAGCACAGGGGACTTTTATAAAGGGATGTGCACATGAGGCTGTGTTTCCTTGGTAAGCTAATGTGATTTCCTAGAAGGACAAAAATAAAAGAGTAGTAGAAATCTTACAGCAGAATTTCTTCAAAGGACCTTTCAAAGGGGAGATTTATTGAGTCTTATTCTATCAGACGCTAGTCAGTGAACATGTGCAACTTGGGTGAGCTGGAAAAAAAAGGAGCTTGTCTATAAATTCTTGTACTCCAGACACTGCTCCTCAGAGGACAGCCCTAATAAACCCATCAGCACAGCAATACTGTAATTCAGTGGTGGCTCACTCTTCAGAGCCCTGCATCCGAGTCTTTTCTCAGGGACTCCTGCAGCAAACACACAGTGCATCAGCTGCCCTGAGGACACAGTGCTTTAATGCTAATGTGGAACATGTCAGAGAGCCCCAGCCCAGCCCAGCAGACAAGGAGGTGTCTCCTCTCCCTATTCAGAGAAGAATTCAGGCCCAGAAAGTAGTTAAATCATCCAGACAAAATCCTACTAGCACCACATAATACTTTGGTAGAAGCCAAGATATTAACTAGAAATGTTCTACAATGTGCTATGAGCTGGGAAATGTGAGCTTTAATCTTCCTCAGCTGAATAAGAAACTGATCTTGAGCCTCCCATCTCACAAGCAAATAAAGCCAGAAAGCTGCAAGAGACAATAATCATCTCACCCTGACAAAACAAATGAGCTATTCAAGAAATTGTCACCAAAACTGGGCAAAGCTGAAAGATGTAGGGAAAGCAGAGTTATTGAATGCCTTCTTTTCATCAGTCTTTGCCAATAAGAAGGATGAATCTCTGACCCAGGAGACCAGGCTAAATGAATGTCAGGAGGAAGACCTTCCTTTGGTCACCAAGGGTCTGGAGAATCTCTCTTATGAGGAAAGGGTGAGGGAGCTGGGGCTGTTCAGCCTCGACACAGACCAGGCTCTGCTCAGTGACCCGCAGCAATGGGACAAGAGGAATGGGCAGAAACTGATGCCCAGAAAGTTCCACCTGAACATGAGGAAGAACCTCTTTACTGGGCAGTGACCAAGACTGGAACAGATCACTCAGAGAGGATGTGGAGTCTCCATCACTGGAGATGTTCCAGAACCATCTGGACACAATCCTGTGCCGTGTGCTCTGGGATAACCCTCTTGAAGCAGGGAGATGGCATCAAATGACCCCTGTGGCCCCTTCCAACCTGACCCATTCTGTGATTGTGACCTCTCCAAACCCCGTCCCTGTGTTGTTAACTTTGACATCAAACCAGTAACCTGGCAGAACTTCAGGCTACTGATGATGGTAATGCTACTTAAACTAGCAGGCATTGTTTAATTGTATAAATTAATCCTTCTGCATTTCTCTACAGCCTTGCTCAATGACAAAGTAAGTGCTGACAGTGGAGGCCTGCAAGAAATATTATATGTTCTAGCACTGTACCTTTGGACCTAGAGTAATAAGTACATAAAAGAGATAGATGTGTATTTCTAACGCCACCTTTTAAAGCAATTGCTTAAAAGAAGCCTGCTTTAGCAACTTGGAAATGTAATTCTTGACCTTCTTGAGTAATCATGTTAATATCAGGAGAAGCTGGAATTATTCAGTTGTGAACAAGAAAAGGTACTGTTCTTACTTAAAAGAGAAGCACTTAAATTTAAAAGTGAGTCCAAAGGAGGAATGTGAGTATTCCCTGGTCACTCCAGAGGTGAGTCATGGCAAGGGCTTCCCACTCTCAACAGAGATGTGGCAGGGGTAAAGAGAGTGTTCCTATGCCCACAAAATATGAAGAATATAAATTTGAGTCACCAGCTCCAGCAGGGGCACAATCCAGCTCTCAGTCAATAAAGAGATCCTCTACTCTCTACAATTCCATGGCTTATTTCCAAGACACGTTGCAGCTTCTACATACAGGAAGGGAAGAAAGGCTCCAGTCACTTCCATTAAACAATCTGCTTTATTCCCAGAAGAAATTTTATCCTAAGGGAAAAAATATCAGCTCCACAGAATACAGTAAAGTGTTCCCACTTGCACAGGGATGTTCATTCAAATTCTGCAACTTCCACACCTCTTTGCAGAAAGATCTCTTGGCTCACATTTTCTAAGATTTTCTCAGCTAGAGGCTACTTAATCTGGACTAAAACATTTGAGGTGAAACAGTAGCAACAGAGCAAGACAATCAGGCTGTTCTATTCAAGATCTCCAAGAAAGAAATGGGATATTGGGGGTGTAAGAAAAAGATTTACCTTCCTGCCCTGTTGAGAGCAGAGCATGACAGAATTTCACAGCCAAGACAAGAAGGACAAAGGAAGAGAGTAACCCCAAGCTGGTATGCGGATGAATTGACTGCTTTTTGAAGCAGAAAGGGGACATATGAAACTTCTCATGTTTGGTCTCTTATTTTTTTACAAAACTGATGTCAAGTAAAACAATGCACAGTGGTGTCTGTATCACATAAAATCTCTGTGCTTTCCACAATCTATAAACCCCTACCATATCATGTTTTATCATAAAACAGGCTTTCCATAGTGTCATGTGGCTAGAATTTCCCATCTCAGTGGATCCCAGGGAGTCTTTAAAAACTTTAATCAGCCTCCCCCACATATTAAAGAAAGATGGAATTAAGTCAGTGTGCTTATGCTTTCTGTGTAGTCAAATATATAAACATCTCCAAGTTACAGATGAGCAGAAAGATAGTCTCAAAATATTTAAGCAAGAAAAGTTGAAGAATTAAGATACTTTGCTAGACAGGTATGCAGAGGCTGGCATGCCAAACACATGGATCAAAGCCATACAGAGATGGGTAGAGTGACTCACATACACAAGGAACTTGACTTTGTCACCCAGCTCTTCCAAAACAGCAAGTGCAGTCTGAAAAGTACCTAAGAAAAATTGAGGCCACAAACACACAGAGCAATATGATGCTTTTTTAATCAGGTTTTCGATCACAATGTAGTTTTTTTCCCCACCAACACACTCAAACACAGACATTTAAAAATTATTTGTCTACAAAGAGGAACAAAATGATTTAAACAGCTCCAGTAAATTCTGAGCAAATCTCTTCTGATCTTCTCCTTGGGAGCCCACTCAGCCGACATATAAATTTTGTTTGATTCTATTTCACAAGACAAGATGAGGCTGGGTTGTAGATAACCTTCTGTTCAAGCTCAGCATATCTTTTCAGAAGTGGACGATAGAGCTAAAAAGGAAAAAGAAATAAATATGTCTCATTGAAAAATTAGATTTTTAAATTACACTACAGTTACAAAACCTCTTCAGACATGAAAAATGCGATATCTTCACAGGTACCTGAAGGTTTGGGGTGGTTTTTCCTCAATTTGCTCATGAAAGCACTGCAGAGTTTTCCCTCATTAAATGTCACAGTCCTTTTTACCATCACCTTTACAGCTTAATTTTATGACATGCACAGGTTGTTCTTATTGTGACTGTGTTCTTGCTATAAGCAGAAGCCATTACTTCCAGCAGAAGCAGCTCAGCTAAAGTCACCTCTCCTGGTGTGACATGCCCCCTCAGTAATAGCTGTGCTAATCACCCAGGCAGAACTCCTGTCCTTGCCTCCCTCCACTGCCCCAGGATGGATCACTGCCTCTGTCTCCTCCTCCTCAGCCTCACTAATCACCCCACTGCCGCCCTCCAGCACAGTCAGATAGGTCCTCCTTGGCCAATGTGCTGACCAGGGCCTTCTAAAATGCACTTCACACTCCCTCTCAGACTCCTGTACCTTTTTGAGCTGCTTCTCTAATACATGTCTTTCACAGCTACAGCTTTTCCCATCCACAATCTGCCCAGAATGGTCCTTGCTCCCCAGGCCCAAGGACAAATGCAGACCCAGCTTCTATCCACAACTACACCAAGTATCTGAGTACCTTTTTTTTCTAGCTGGAATTTTCCAGGAGTTTTAGACACAGTATTGTTACAAACATAAAAAGAAGAATCAAGATTGAAATGTATTCAAAACCCCAGACCCAGACATGTCCTGCACTTTTGGATATGGGTGAGATCCATGAAACCCTGAAAAAATCTCTGCTCTGGCTCCAACCAAAAACTGTACTTCATCTAGATCTTGGAGATGCATCTTTCCCCCTCTCTCCTCCCTCTGGTGTTAACCGTGCCTCTAATAAAATCAGTACCGTGACAAGCCATACCAGGACAGCTTTGCACATTTGCTGGCTCCAGCACAAAGAAGGGACTGCCAGGAGCCAGTGCAGGGTCTGGTACAGGCTCAAGCAGTCCTTAGGAGAATGCAATAAGGTCATATCCCTGCCACAGTGAATCCTAGAGGCTGCCAGTCTGGTCTACGAGGCCTCTGCACTGACTCATAATCAGGGCAGCCTCGCTCCTGGCTCCAGGTTCAGAGAGGTTATAGAGCCATAATGAATCATACCCAGCAAACTGAATTACTGCTCTCATCAGTAAGCAAGATCTAGCATTTCAGTGCATTTCGTCCTTCTCAGGACAGCAAACAACAGTGTGTGCACACACAGGAAAAATTCAGGAGGAAAATGCTTCAGGTGTAAACTCTGGGGATGTAATAGGAGATGAGTTTGTTTTTGTGCAGGTCTCTGTACAGTCCTGAAGTGGCCTCAGTGTCAGTAACAGCCATACTTTCCCAGATTAAATATATATATATAAAAGAAATCACAAAATTTTCTCACCTAGGAAATAAAAACAATGGGTTTTTGTTTTGTCTTTCAACAGATGGCAAAATACCCAGTTTTTATGTTTCACTTCTCCTGAATGATAGTTTAAGCCTGACCAGTAAAAACTGGATTTATCTGTTTATTTCCATTTCCACCTTCCACAACAGCAGGTGGAAGTGACTTAATGGACACATTCTGCAGATGGATCTAGTTTTGATCAACTCCTCCCTTTTTACAAACCAGATGTTACAGAAATTAAAGTTTCATTTCTGTACTTCTATAACAGATTAAGTATATGAAGAAGTATAGAAGAGATAGAGCATCCACAGCAAGTGGAAAGAGACACCGTTCATTAGCCAAGACTTCATAAAATAATTTTTAAAGCCATCTTACAGTGACCGAGTCTTACAGTGTCTTCTACTGATTAAAGCAGAGAATCCTACACACTCCTGCCTCTGCAACACACTCATTCAGTGACCCCAGGCCAGGCATTTAACACGTGTGTGCCCCAGCTCCTCTTCTCCACAGGACAGTGAAACTGAGATCCTGGAGGTTTATGCAGATTTATGGGGTTAGAAAATAAAATGCACCACTATTATGAAATGTCACATTACTCAGCATGGTATTTTTAACTAACTACATGAGGGCCTGGAGGGCTCAGAGAAGTACATATATATAAATTCTTTTCATGTTCCCAGAGAATATTATTGCTCCCATTTCTGGTAAATATGCACATCAGAGTAAACAAAACATTGAGCAGGCAGCTATGGCTATACTGGGAGTATCAGTATTTCAAACAAAACCAGCTCCTCTATTCACTGAAGCAACTGTAATGAAGACTGGCTATTTCTTACTTCACTATTCTGTAAATTTGATAAACCCTAAGTGCTCCTCAGCAAAGATTCAGCACAGCAAAGCTGCATTGGTGAGTGAGCTCAGGCACTGAGAAACAGGCTCCATATTATTTGCCCATCAGTATATTTTACAAAATACACACAATGCATTTACCAGAAGGCTGGGAACTATTATTGTTAATACATCACTCTAAATTAAAATGTGTCAAAATAAATGAACAACCACATTTACTGACACAGTTTCTTTTTCCTGTTTATTGGACTTAAGCACTTAGTTTGCTAATTGAGAATATTCAGGCATTTGCAATAAGCTTTTCAGTCATTAGTGTAAATGAATCCTGCATTATGGACCATATGAAAAAAAATTGCAAACAAATAATTAAGAATATTTCCTGTACTCTATTCCTGTTGTTTGGGGTAAAAAGCTGTGCAGCTCAGAGAGACAAGCAAAGCCTTAAATTCCTCCTCCTCAGGGAATTTGGCTGCAATACCACCAGTACATCATAGCTGATAAGTGCAGCAGTACCACAGGCTTTTCACATGCAATATTTTTCATGCCAGCTGAGGTTTGGGGCTGGAGCAGTGCAGCTCCCATGGAACACAAAGACCCAGAGCATGGCCTGAGTCTGCACTCAGGGGTGTCTGTGGAAAGTGACTCTCCACATCTGTCATGACTGAAGTGCCTCCACAGAATCTTGGGCAACTCCTCCTGTGTGATTCTGGGAGTGTCTCTCCTGAGGCAATTATATAGATGTATTTTTATAATTGAGGTCCAAAGGGAATAAAGGACTCTCAATAATGCATAAAAGCCCAAGGACATAAATTCCCTCTCTGCCATAGCCTCAAACCCAATCTATCAAACCATGATATTTAACAAAAGTAATTACATGTATCACAATACAAGCCTTATTATTGTCCATAATTTAATTGTCCTTGCTTAATTATGGCCCTTTCTCCAGCTTATCTTTATACCCTACTCCACAACACTGACAATACTCTGACTGCTTCATTTACAAACCCTAAACTCCTCTCCTGGGACAATTTGGTCACATTCTGACAGTCTCACAACTAAAGAAAATGCTAATGATAAATAATACATTATAACAGGGAATAATTTAACCTGCCCTCTCTGAAAAATGCATTTGTACAATGATACCTTGTTCTCCAGAAGAAATCAAATGTGTCATCCTGTTACTACATCTCCACATTACCAGCCTATGTGCTCAACAGGCCTTTCACTGTTTACATTGTCCCTGCCACCTTCTAATAGCAAAAGCAGCTAAAAACTATTACTACAAGAGACAATCCACATGGATCCTCCCCTCTCCTGCAATGCTCCGTTAGCCAATCACTGGAGCAATTCAAAATTTACAAATTACAAAGATGATGTTGATGATTATCTCATTTTAATCTACCCAAGTACATTTAATCTACCCTGAATAGATTAAAATTAATCAGTCTCTCACAAACATTTGTAACTTCTGATAGGTTCCTTTTTTTTAAACCAAAATCAAATTTCTCATAGATATTTGCTTAAGAAATCAAGTTGTTTTGTTTTTCAAATTATAGCAGTGGTTCATCTTTCTTAACAGAGAAAGAATAAAGCAGAAACAATAAAACAGTATTCTGAAATACTCTGAAGACTTCTCCAAGGAACCACACCTGAAACAATTATATTCTTTACTTCAGCCGTTCTGCAAGCCTATCTTAATCAGTTTAACAGGTTAAAAAATTATTGGCTACACAAATCACCTTAATCAAACTTCTATCAATAGCTATTATATGTTTGTGGTTGTATTATTATTACCTACTTTGCACTAAATTACCAACCTAAACCAATTCTAGAAAAACAACCTCCCCCCTCCAAAATCTAACTCAACAAAATATAATTATTTTAAATCAATAAATAGGTCATTATAACCTTCCTGGGTAATAGGGTCACTTCTATAAATCCACCCACTTACAAGGCAATTCACCAAAGTCACAAAAACCTGTTAGGTTTACATTTTCCCTTCCTGAATTTTTGCAAGATTAATAATAATCTCAGCAGAGTCAATAATGCAATCAAAAATCACACATCCAGAGGCAGTGAGCTGCTCTATGCCTTCTCCCTACAAAACCCCACAGGACAATATCACAACCAATCTGGCACTCTGTCACAGGCACACAGCTTCTATAAACACAAGTGACCAACTCCCAGAAAATCGTGTTCTCTCTCATGTTTTATTTTTGCATAATTAACCAACTAGCCAACCATCCCTGTTTTAATGGATTACTAAAATAGATCTGAATTCTAATGCTGAAATAACAGATTATTTCTGTCTGTTAACATATATTTATTGCTCTAGAATCTCCTGGTTATTTTTGTCATGCTTAGTGGTTCTGATTAATCTTTTTCCTCGGGGAAGAGAGGAGGCCCCAAAGAGGTGAGATGACTCTTTAATTTTTGCTATTCTGAAAAAAAAAAAAGGAAGAAGGATTCATCCCACAGATTAACCCACAGATGACTGACTTGAGCTAGTCTGGTGGAGTGAGTAACCAAGGACCATCACCAAAGTGGTTTCCACCAGAACACCTCATGACCCATTTGGGTATTGACAGAATTAGATATAAGCTCAGATTAATGTCCATATCCTACAAAAATACCGGGAAATCAGGTTCAGCTAAGAGACTTGGGGTCATACCCACAGAGAGGGATTGATCCTCTTTGAAACGGTCTCTTCAAGGCAGGATGGTCAGCTACAGGACAAAGTCACATTGTTGCCAGACAAGTTGGAACTTTTGAGACTTCAGTTTCCACTAACAACTGATTCATCGCCCACCACAAGCTCTATGTTCCCCATCTCGTGACTTTATTCTATTTTACCTGCCCATCAGTTTAATTGTTCCATAAGAGCTGCTCTGTGTGCTCTGCCCCTGCTTTTTTAAATCACATTCATTATCACAAATGATCCCTTAGAAATCAAAGAAAGGCTTTTTGCATTTTTGGTTCCTGGAAACCCCTGCTGTGGGCATAGGCCTTGGCAATGAAGGAGAAGCTACATCAAACTGTCCCATTTGACCTCTGTCTACAGGAGGTTTTCCTCTCTCCGATGATCTAACACCTTGTCTCCAAACTATACCCAGAAGAAAGGATGAAACCAGAGCAGATTGCTGTGTTATGACCTGTTTTTTCTCCACCCTGCCAAGATCTAGCTGTAGCTGTCCAAAAAATGTAAAGAAGTGGTTGGGAGAATTTCACATTGGTGAGCCAGACTCTTTCAGAAGAGCTCCTCAGCAAGACAGGACCTAACCTCGGGATGACTTTGAAGTTTATAAAAAGAACTATCATTTAAGTGAAAGGCTCTAACCTCAACAGAATGAGATTGGATGGACAGGGAGATGCAGCTCTGTATAAAACAGAATCAAACTGACTCATTGCATTATGAATTTTTACTGCACTGTTCATGCTAACACACTGTATTACTGACAGGCCCTCTGGCTTTCTGCAGTTTCACAGCCATGAAACTAGCCAGGGAATCCACCATCAACTGCAAAATTATGAGGCAGGAAGAAAAAAGAAATGGTGTGGAATATGTAATTGCAAGAAGCTGATTTTAATGGAATGAAGCTGGAAAGCTAAGCTAAAGAGCAGGAATGGTTATTCCTTCCCATGCTATTTGGCCACTGCCTCCCTGTCATTCATTCCTATCTACTGGGGCAACAATTCACTACTGTACAATCATTTAAAACCAATAAAAAAGATGTGCAAGGAGAGCCAGGTCTAACCATGTGGAAAAGGAAAGTATTGAGAAGGAGATAATTAACTCTTTTAGCTTCCAGGCCATTTTATGCAGAGAGCAAAAGAGAAAGAAGTACTGAATTCCCCAGTGATCTCTCCAGTCAGGTTTGCTTGGCCCCTGCAGGGGTACAAGGTGCTTGCAAGGCCCCTGTGAGTGACAGCTGTATTCTCTGCCCTTGAGTTTTATAGCTGAAGCAGCACCAGGGGGTCAAAATCAGGTCTCTGAGCACTTCCCACCTCCACCCCAGCCAGGCTGGCAGATTTTCAGCACACAGCATTTTGGGGGGGACAGGGCAGCGACGTGAGGTTGAATCAGACACCAGGGAGCTGCTCCTGTGGTGTGTTCCCTGCAGAGAGCTTCAGCTGCAACACACGTGGCACAGGCCACTGTTGTTAATTATTTTATCTTTTAAAATGAGGGGGGAAGGTTGAGTAAATGAGATCAGATCAATCAAGTTTAAATTATTCAATGTCTTAATATTTCTGAAGGGGACTTCTATTCGATTACTGAGCTCCTCCATCTCAGTTAATAATTAAATAATACGCTGGCAGGCACAATGCAGCATGATCATTTCTGTTATTGCTCATGATGATATCTGGTGCTCCTCTACACATGTAGCTGGGAGTTAGTAGTTTTGGCAGATCATTAATTTCCCTGTTTAAATAAAAGCTTTAAAACCTTGTTGCCTGTAGTTAGGCCACTTCCAAATCTCATAAATGGTGGAGTATGTGAGGCTGTGCTGATGTAAAAGAAGTTTTTGCACAGCTGAAGACCTTGGTGAGATTCACCTTTGTTATTTAAACATGTGCTCTGCAGGAACCTTGCTATATTGTATTGTTTATTTATTACCGCGCATTATATTTCAAAAGCTGTTGTAAACTAAAGCCTTTGGCTGAGAGAGACGTGCGGGGTTGCACTGGAGAGCCTGAGACAATGATTCCTTCCTTGGTTTTACAAGGGCTGGAATCACATAGTTACCAACAATGACTATCTCTTCTGCTTTGTCTACGTGGGCCATAAAGCACAAGCCTCACCTTCAGACGTGCCGAAATTCACAGGAGGGGCACAGAACCAAAGATCTGTGCCTACTGATTCCTCCCAGCTGGCATAGTTTCCAAGTGGGAGCTACCACTTGATTATATACAATTATATACAATTGCTGACCACTCCTTACAGACAAGAAGGATTTTTGGAGGTGTTTTCCAAGAAGATAGAAAGCACAGTCACCACACTTTTCCATGCTGCTTGCTGCAAACAAGTCCAGATTATTTTGTCAAGATTATTAGTTACAACCTGACTGGCCTGTATCCATATTCAACCTATTTTATAACTTTTCCTGTCCCTTAACAAAGAGATTTTTCCCTCTGATCACATCTAGTTTGGAAAATTCATTCTCACAGACCTGGATGGTGAGATCAGGTTATTGTGCCATTACAGCACCAAAAATCTCTCAAAATCAAATCTGTCTTTACAACAAGGAATAAGAGCTGTGTAACCAAGTGTTTCCTAAATCAATCTGTTTTACCAGAAGAATTAGCAAACCACTACATTTAGAAGCAGATGGGAAATGAAAAGAAAAATGGTATTCCCAAACTTGCTCACCTCCTCAGCCCCTGGGGTGGGTGTAACAGCCAACCTGGGCTCCGGTGCTAATTTCACAACATCAGCCAAGGACACATTCCTCTCAGCTACAAGTCCTGCAATGAGAATCACAATCCTGATCAATGCAAAGAAACACCATGAGGGATGTGCCTCGACTCCCTGGCAAATTAATACATTATATTGATCTTCCCTGGTCAGGTCAACATTCAGGATTGAAGGATAAATGGCAGAAGATCTTACATTCCTATGAGCTAGCCTGGGAAGTGGGGACTCTGTGATTGAGTTTTTGCCAATCACTCAATTCATACCCTGGGGAACAGGTAAGGAGCAGAAATGCTACTCAACAATATCAGTAATTATTTATGGTTACAACACAGTAAACAGTACTGAAAATATGAGGAAGCGAAGGATTCAAGGACAAAATGTGACTAAACATAAAAATGAAGAGAAATTAAAACACAAGAAAATATTCTACAAATTATTTATATATTTATATGTAAGGAAGCAGAAAAATAGAGGAGTTCTGCTATGACAGCATTTTGCTTTGTGAGCAAATCACAGCGTTTCAGGAGCTCCCTGCACACCTGCTAAGAACCCCAGGCTAACTGTGAAACACCCCAGGTGCACACTGTAATATTATTAAAGAGCCCTTGCTATCAGTATTTCATTTATATTAGCAAGTCCTCACTCTTCCTCAATTCCTTTTCCTGGCCAAGAGTGAAGCAGCTGAAAGCATCAATCAAAAATGCCATTTAGGAACACACACAGCAAACCCCCTGGGGCTTGGCTGGCAGAGGACGTGAGCCGAGGAGTCCCTCCATCAGCAAGGCTTCCGAAATCCTCGCTCAAACGCTCTGTCAGCCAAGCCTCCACACCTCATGTGCCAAACTGGCAGAGGGAATACCCATCTCCCACACACACAAAATATCCACATGGCTCCACATTTCACATGCCATTGATGATGGCTCCACATTTCACATGCATTCAAGGACAAGGAATTTGCCTGCAGGATTAGGTGCTGGGAGGCTTCTGAAGCAGAAGGCAAAGTTTGAGTATAAAGAAAAACGGTTTGGAAACTCGACCCACGAGGTGCAAAAGTGGTCCCATTGTGGCTTCAAATATACAGATAACCCAAGTGTTTCCACTGTCCTGCAAAAGCCTATTTGGCCTGACAGAAGCCTTTTGCCTTTTCTGGAGTTAAAGAGAGCGTGCTGTGTGCATTAAATACACCAGGTTTTGGTTGTGCAATTTTCTGTGCTGTTTTCACATGCAAGAGATCATGTTGTCTTTAGATGCTATAATGTGACAGCAGAATTTGCTTCTAAAATTAAAACTTGGCTGATTTCTTCTGATGGGTGATGCTATCTTTTCCATGCTTGTTGCAATCCCATGGTCTTACATGAACTTGTAGAAAAGTTACCCATGTCTTAAAGCCCAAATCCTAAGGATGCAAATAAAAAAAAAAAAAAAACTGAGGCTAACTACAGTTGACCTAAACAAGGAATTCCACACTCCTTGAATTGTTTAGTTGTACTATATTAGAAACCATTTTAAAATACATGGATAAAAATTCAAGGTTGGGATTCAAGTCTTAAATAGCTGACAGCTGACCCTCAACACACACCCACATGCATTAATAGATATAAGTTAATTAACATGTAAATCTTGGGGCTTGGACTGTTATATTACAGTGAGTGATGTAGTACAGCAAGCAAGATGACTGGTCAGCCTAAGAGTATCCCAAGATTCATACTCTTATAAGAGAAAGTGCATGGAGCCCAGGAAACCTTGCATATCTTTCAACTTGATGTTTAAAAGCTGGAAGATAAATAAAGGTTTAATACTGGACAGAAGTGTTATAGGTCTTCTTGTCCCTGCCCTCTTTGATCTTCTTTACTGGGATCAACCTCTTGTTTGGTTTGGCCATTTCATCAGCCCAGTTTACAGCCCAGTCCACAAACTGGGGTGGCAGGCTGCTCCAGCACCTTCAGCTGGCTGTATTCTTCCGTGGATGTAGCAACTCAACATGTGAAGGGCTCAGACACTCCCCAGACAGTACCAACACTTCCCACACCCCATCCCTTGGTTGAGAAGCAGCCACCAGGCTTGGAATTACAATGTAAATTATATTATCTAGCCTAATCCCAGTGTACTAAGAGCAAAAATCCCTCTTTGACCTGCACGACCTTCCAGTCAGATGTGCACAGCTTTACTCCCCACTCATGCCCTGTAACGTTAATCCCAAGTATTAACCAAGTGAAATTAAATTCCCTGACTGCTCCCAAGTGTCTCCTGGCAGCCTTACCGTGGATTGCTCTGTAAGCACTTCCCAGACAAGCAGAGTTGGCCGTGTCAATGGTGAACACAGGCGCGTTGAACACATCAGACAGGACCTGAAGAGCATCAAAGCATCCATGAAACACAAAGGGCAAAGAAATCCTTCATCACTGCTCAGGTAAACAGGCAGCTGTCCCAAGCCCCAGCCAAGCACTCAGGAACCTGTGGAAAGAAGCACTGCAGGCAACAATGAGGCCTGAACTTGTCACACAACAGGGTATTGGTAATTCTGAGCTACAGGTGTAACTCTAGCCAGGAAATAAAGTCCCATTTCTCTCCAGATCTCTTGGTTTCAGTTCAGAGGAGCCTCGGTTCAAGTGTCATCCCTCAAAAGCTCACACAATCAGCCCATGCTGATGTCAGGGCAAGGAGACCTGCTCAGGAACCCACAACTGGAGCCTGTTTTCTTCCATCATATTAAGGCTGATTCAAGTGGGAAGGAAAGAGAGAAGAACCAGTCACGGCTCCTCAATTCTCAGCTTGGATAAAAATAAACCTCCAGCAATATGAAGGCCTGCTAAGCCTTTCTTCTTCGTCTCCACCATTCCCATCCTATTAGGATCAGCAGGGAGAGTGACACAGAAGCTGATTACATGGTCTCTAAATTTACCAGTTCTCCTTTTTTTAAGGGAACTTTAGCTATGAAGAAATATTGAGATACTTGGCTTGAGCAATACAAATAAAATTTTACAGGCAAAGAATTTATTATGGTATCCAACAGGTACTAAAGTTATTCAACCACTCATCATTCAGCATTGAAATCAACACCATCAACACCTCACATGCAGTTAGTACATGTGCTCTTCCCCACAGTTTAGGTTTAGAAAAACAATACAGACGGGGAAAAATTAAGACATATTTGGATAGGGACATAGGAGGTTCAATAACTCCTTTCCAGAAACATGGTCAACAAATGCTTTCCATTTTGGTTTCATCACTTCTAGGACTGCAGGTACCCCTCAGGCTGAGCAAGGCAAGAAGCAGGAAACAATTGAGATATAATCTGTGCTGGTTTTATTACTTTTGCCAAAGGGAAAATTGTCTTACCTGACTTAAATCCGTGCAATTGAGTCTAAAATATAGCCAGATTGTCCAGCATTCCAAACCATTTGGATTAGTGCAAGGCAACCCTGATCCTGGAATTTATAACCCTGCTGTAGATTTTTTCATAAAAGATGACTAAGTATAGAAATATATTATACATGAAATTTCTAAAGGATTTTTCTTTCTCTGAAGTTTTATGGAGAATCTTCAAATCAAAACCTTTGAAAATCACTGATTTTCACAATGTAAATGAAAGTGGCTGTTTGCTGACTAGAACTCAAGGGAAGCCTGAGCTTATACACTTAAAACTCTGTCTTCTGGTAAGACAGAGAAGTCAGGATTGGCTAATTTCATTTGCAAGCAAGCACTGAGCAACACATGAGCTTCAATGCTAGAGAACAAATGAAAAATTAATCATGGCTATCTATTAAAAAGTCCTCTGGAAGTTATAAGGTCACGGAGCTCTAGTCCTACTGCCCATCCTGCCAGCCAATGCTACCACTTTGTTTCAACACATTCCCCATCTGCATCTTCACCTCATCTCTAGTAGGTATTTCTTGTCTTGAGTTTAAATTGTACAATCTTTTGGACAACAATTTTTTTCTTTTTTTTTCATCTCTGAAGAGCCTCATACAATGAAGCCCTATACTGATTGTTAAGAAGAGCTATAATACTACAAATAACGTTTTAACAATTTAACAAATAACATTTTTTTTACCACGATGATAAAATAAAAGATTATTCAAAATTCATATATTTGGTAAGTCATTTGGAGCTGTGTTATCTCTCACAAATAATTTAAAAAGAAACTGTTAAAGGCTCTACTGCTGAAGATAATTCACTGTGTTCCATGTGGTCATTAATCAAGCAGCACATATGTTATAAAAAGCTTCCTGGAACTGTGGAGAAAGCTGTCCTACTAAATTTTTTTTAACAGATTTTACTAAGTTGTCTCCTTTGTGGTGTAAAATATAGGAGTTCCTGAATGTTGATTAATTAAATGATAGTCTTTTGTAGCCCTGGAACAAATTATCCAAAATTGACCATGATAAGGGTGGAAGCTGTTATTCTTTATGCAACTGATATAGTTTCTGAGGTTTTGATTAAATTAAAAAGAAAGATCCAATTAACCAGTGATTGAATTAAGTGAATGACACTGTATTGATCATATTCTTTTAAGGCACTTCTAATGAGTTTTAAAACCAGCTGAATTGTTATACGTGAAGAGCAAGCACCCAGCCCCCACTCTCCCAATCCCATGATTTTTCAGCTGTGTATGTTACCAAATTACGCATTTTAAGAACATTTGTTTCTCTGCCTTCATTCCACAGCAAGGAGATCCTCCCAGCACCCTAACTGGAAATACAACTTTAAAAACAAAGTCATCTGTGAATACAATCTTTCCTGATGTACCCTTAGCAGAATTACTCCTGTAAGGACCAATGTTTTAAGCAATTAACCAATCAGTTAATTTTCCAACATCACATTCTTAGGCAAAGTAACCAAAGCAGGTGAAGAGAAGTGACATCTGCAGGCAAAACATGCCAAATTTGCTGCTCCCCAATCAGCTGTACAACCAGCAGTTACAGACACACGTGCTTTAGATGCCTTAGGAGAAAACAGCTTTTTGCTTTTTTACTCTTCAACCTCCATTTAATCCAGCTCAGGTTTTGTGGAGCAGAGAATTGACTGCAATTGTCAAAGAGAATGGTGTGCAGCTGAGGCTGGCCTCAACTCTCTGGAGCTGCTGGGAAGGGGTTGGAATCCCCAGAAAACATTTCACCTTGTGCTCACTGTTGCCAGTGATAAGACCTGGCCCAAGATTAGGACTTCTGGTGTACATGCCTACCTCCAGGTCAGTGTTGGAGGCTGTGGTTAAAGGGGAGCTTGTCAAGGCAGCCCTTGGAGCCCAGAAAGCTCCTCGGATCACCCAGAGGGAGACATTTACATTTGTTAAGTTAAAACACCATCCGCTTTCCTCTGCACTGCAACAGACGGGATCCCCCCTGACTATTACAGGGTTGACAGATCGTGAGCAGACATCACATCACAGATGACTGGGTTTGGGCAGGATGAATCCCAATCCAGATGTCTCGCTCTGCGCTGTCGAAAGCCAGGTGAGAGGCCTCTCACCATTTGTGAGCGAGGCTTTGCCAAGTCTCAGTGGGCAGAAACAGAGAGCACATGGTTCTCTGTTCTCCACAAGATGGATGAAGGATCTTACCCAGGCTGGATGTGCAGCAGCAGCAGCAAAAGAGGAGGCTGGGAAGAGGAAAGGAATGACCCTACAGGAGTGTAGCCTCCTCCCAGCAAATGTAACAATGCTAATAAATAACACAAAGGCAGGGGGTTGATGTTTGTATGGGGGTGGTTGTTTGTTCATTTGTTTGTTGTTGTTGGGTTTTTTCAGTGTTTAACACCAGCATGATTCCCCTTCAGTTTAAAGAAACCAATGGTTCAACTTCAACCTGAATGACAAAAAAAAAAAAATTTAGGTATTATATAAGAAGTTTCTTTGTGATTTCTTTGCTGATTGATTTAAGTGATGAGACCCGGAAATCACCAGTGCTTCAGATACACATTCATAAAACCAGTCAAGTGTGAAAAAACCTCTAAGTTCAATGTAAAATTAGCACTAGGGTAAAGGTTTTCACACTAAACCTGAAGAAGAGCCCCAAAGACCTGCAGCAGATTCACAATTCCATATCCATACCTTCCTGTGCAGCTGCAGTGATTTTGGATTCAGTACAGCAAAATAAAAACGGAAATGTAATTGCAAATTCAGTTCAGGATTTAATTTGCTGCTTACCTGTAAGATCTTTTTATTGTGGGATGCACCACCAGTAGCCAAAATCCTTGTTTTAGGCACTGCAATGCAATAAAAAGTACAAATCAGAGTGACAGTGCATATGGTCAAGATTTGTGCTACTGAACCAAGCACAGTGAGAAGAAGGAGGTGGGAGTCAGGGATCTCTCTCTGTACCTTTAATTTACCTTCTGTAGAAAAGGAGATAACACTAATTACCCACTTTTCCGAGGCACATTAGAACACTTCCTCAGAAGAGGCAACATAAATATTGCAGATCTATTATTATTGTAGTGCTATCAATGTCAGGGAGATTTGCAAAGGAGATACAGAGTAAGAAAGGCAGTGTTATTATATTACAGCTCTGGTTTGAGGTCAGATTGGTTTGGCTCATAGCTGTATATATACAAACTGACAGATAACCTTTAAAATCAGCAGTATTTTCCAAACTTATCTCCTCATGACGTTCACAGTCAGAGTTCACTGAAACCTGGGCAATCCCTATGTGCTTGAATGACAAGGAAGTGTGTCAAAAGGCAATTAGAGATGGCCTAAATCACTGCACTAAAGTGAAAAATATATCTGAATCTTCATCCAGTGCAAACCCACAGCTTTGGGGGAGTTAAACAACATATCCTGTGTTCTTTAGGCTTACAGAAACCCATCCTTTCTTCCACATTCCTGAATGTCTGCCTCACCATTTATTTGTGTGCATGCAACAAGCCACACATCTATCCATAATCACAATTCAGCAAAGCATAACAAACATAAATAGTCCAAATGGTCTCACTGAAGTTCTTCAAAGGCTTAAAACAAAATAAATGCATAAACACTTTGATAGCGTACATTTTTAAAAATCTAAACACTTAATTAACCTGATTTATGACAATAATAAGTGATACCATCATATACCCTCCCAAAAGGGAAATTTCACAGTGGTTATTGTTTTGTTATCTTAACTTCCTTTTTAATAAAAGCTAAAGATAATTTATTTCTCACAAGGCGAAGTTGGGCAACTTACACTGATGCCCTAAATAACTTATTGTAATTTATCCTTTCAAGTATCTTAATGACAAAAGCCCCAAAGACAGAATTAGAAATAATCAGAACATGCAGCTCACCACATCATTTCCAGACCCCTATCTGGGTGCTCAGGTGGAGCCCAAGACCGAGACAAAGAATTGCATGGGAGACCCTATTTTACTGATAAATTTAATTTTATTTTCTTCTTTGGAGGATATTCAGTGATGCACAAATTGGGTTTTAAAAGCCATTAGGATCTCTGTCAATGTCAGTAAACAAATAAAACAAACAGCAGAGTGATTCCTCAGGGAAAACAAGTTTCAATTATACCAACACAGAGTGACAGATTCCTGCCAAGATTATCACAACAACATAATAGCACAGAAACCAGTGAAAAATAACTAGTAAGCCTCTGTTCCTAGAAACCAAACCAAACTCTAAATTATTTGCCTGGTAGTCACAATTCTGTCTTGCTAAACTTTGTTGCAAATATAAATTCTTGCAGAACTACCACATCCAACATAAAAACACCACATTTCAGAGACAGACAGCAAGGCAGGATAAGAAACAAACACACTGGCTACACTTTTCAGCAGTTCAAACCAAAGAAAAAGTCAGGCTTTCTCTCCAGTGCCTCTGGAAAAGGGCTGAACCCACCACCAGGAAAGAACACTGGGCAACATAAAAGGGCCAAAGCCAAACAGGAACCAGCCCTGTGAGAACAGCAAACACATCTTAGCTCAGCTGCCTCCTCCACTGTCATCACCATGCCAGCTCTCTGCCTCAGCACTTCTGCTCCACAGCTTCCCAAATGTTTGCATTTGGAATCCAGGAATGGATGGGAGACTTACTCCTTGCTAGGTCAGAAACTTCAGGTTTTGACTGCATTATAAATTCATGCCATCACTGTAATTCAAGCAATTTCTATATCAATAAGTTATCAGAATCATAGGGGTGAATTTACAGTGCATTTGCTATTTAATACAGACCATACACAAGTAAGCATTTACCCCACTATCAGTTGGGTTAGGTATCAGTTGGGTTAAGAGGACAAGCCAGATCTCAAGTCTAAAATTGTTTAACATGCTGCTATCTGCACAACCATCTTAATCCAGACCAAGTCTTTTGTGGTAAAATATTAAGAATTATTTCAGAATGCATCTACTTGATAAAAGAAACTAACTTAATTTACACTGTGAAGTTTCTAACATTGGTTAGACAGCTCACGTTCTAAACGGGATCCACTCATGAGTACAAATACTCACAGACACACAGCAAAAGCACCCAAAAACCTATGCTGAAGCTACATGAAAGGCAAAACCATTCATTCTCCTCCTCTTTGAGTAAATAAGATGTCTCATTTCACTGAAACACATCCCAGCAGGTTATAGCCAAGTGAGCTCTAGCCATCACTGTGGGATGACAGACTCTGAGCTGCTGTACAGGTGGGACTGATCCATCCAGGCAAAAGCAAAACCTCAGGTGAATGTGGTGTTCTGCAAGTGGCCAGAGCAGGGAGAGCATCATCCCTCATTGAGTTTCAGTCACTTCTTACAGACAAGGATTAGGTCCCTAAAGAACTACTTGAATTTGCTGAATTTTAGGTTTGCTTCTTATTTCAGTCTCTCTCCAGAGAATGAGGAAAATACATTGATCACTGATTTCACGGATTGTCTTTTTAATGCCAATATTGTGTGCTTTACTGAACAGTGGACATTTGCTCTGAGATGTGTAATTGGATACATCTTATAAATAAATAAAGCAAGCCCATCATTTATGTATAAAAGGCATTAACAGAGACATTGTTCATCCATCACCAGCAGTGTTCTCAGCCAGCTGTGTTTGAATCTGTCAGGAGCTACCATCCATCCCCTACAGCACTGCACAAAGAGAACTTCACAGTGTTACTAAAAAAAAAACCCAACAGCAACTGTAGCCAACATAATTCAAGAATTCAATTCTTTGACAGTTGAGAGAATCAGATTTAAACATCTTTTAATTAAAAGCTCCCTGAATAGTACCTAACCAACCAGTTTATTTCCTTCTTATTGAAAAACTAATTATTTTTTAGAGAGCTGATGCTGAATTTTAACCCTATGTAGAAAGTTTTTGCAGCTGCACATGGCACAGTGTTGTTCTGCCATATGCACATCTTCTGGAGATCTCTTCTGTGGAACATGGTGATTGACCTAACAAAACAGAGTTAAAATAATGGTTCCAAATGGACAGGAGGAGGGAGGAAGACCCAAGTAAAGAAGTTTGTTTATGTGGGAATTCTGAGCAAAAGGCACTATCCCACACAATGCTGAGAAGGCAGCACACTCTGTACACATCACTGTGCACACAAAAATACTCATTGTGCCTTCCACAGAGATCTAGCAAGAACTGAGTGATGTTAAAGTTCATCTCCTGTCTCTCACTTTCAGCCAAAATATTGCTTTCATGGAAAGGTACATAGGGAGGAGAAAAAAAATCTGTCACTGAGAAGAGAGGGAAATTACAATTATATATGTCAGCATTATATATTATTATTTATTGTCTAGGAATATATATATATATTATATATATATATATATATACTATATATATTATATATCAGCATTGTCAGTGGTCCCAAAAAGACTGCAGTCTTGCATCACTATGTGTTTACAAACACAGAGAAGGGGCAGGCACTGATCTCTGCTCTCTGGTGAGTAGTGACAGGACTTGAGGGAATGGCCTGAAGTTGTGTCAGGGGAGGTTTATGTTGGGTATTTGAGAAAGGTTCTTCACCCAGAGGGTGGTTGGGCACTGAACAGGCTCCCCAGGGCAGTGTCACAGCATCAAACCTGACAAAGTTCAAGAAGTGTTTGGACAATGCTCCTGGTCACATGGTGTGACATTTGGGGATTGGTCCTGTACAGGGCCAAGAGCTGGACTCAATCATCCTTGTGGGTCCCTTCCAACTGAGGGCATTCTATGATTCTATGATGATAAATGTAGATTTTAAGAAAAATAATTATATCAGCAAACTCACACCAGTCAGAAGGGCAATGCTAATAATTATCACCAAAAGCCTTCTGCCACATTTGTGCAAGGAGACTGGAGGTAGAAATTCAGCCTCCTGTTCCACCAGGAAGATAAAGGACAGATAAGACTGGTAACAGATCCAGATGCTGAAATTGGTGGGATGACTCCTGACCTCAGGGCTTTTAGATCTGGCTGTATTTCAACTGGACAGAAACGTGCTTCTGTGTCACTGTGTCACTACAGAATTTTGCTGGTTCATGCACCTCTAAGTCCAAAACTAGAATTTGACTTTCCATTTTGAGGCTTAAAACCCTTCAACTTTTTCACCTAAATTTTCAGTGCTACCCACAGTCCTCGTTTGTACCCAAACTCCAGGCACTCACTGACTTTCAAAACTCTTAAAAGATAATTCCAAGAATTCATCCAAACAGCTTCATAACATCTTTCTCATCACAAATGAATCCATGAATAAAACAGAACAATAGAACATGTATTCAAAAAGCAGCTGATTATGCACATGAACCCACGCCAGTTATAAGCGTGATTGCAAATAACTGCAATTTACAATTTGCAAGCAACAAGAAAAGCCCCTCCTTTATTTCTCTGATTAACTTCAAACACTGTAATTTAAAAAAAAAAAAGTATTTGCTAGCTTTCCTTTCAAGAAAAAAAAAAAACAAAACAAAACAGAACAAAAAATATATGGTTGTTTTGTCCCATTTATCAAACAAATATTCCAAAATCATCCTCCTTGCTTATTAACTCTTCCAAAATTCATGCTAATTTTCTTTATTCATATAAAGACACTGAAATTTAACTCCCACTATGGTAAAATATTTCTCTTTTCTAAACCCTTTTGATTATGGCCTTTTATGTCCCTGAAACTTCTCAGACTGGGTCCTAAACAATATCTACATGAATGAGGCAAATGTAATGGAAACTGGAATATACCCTTTTTATTCTTTTTTTTTTTTTTTTTTTTAGATAAATACAACTGCCCAAGTAAAAGCCATTCAAAGACTATTTTTTA